TATGTGATCCAGGGGCCAGATTCACGAAGCAGTTACGCAAGCACCTACGAACCTGTATATCTTTTCTCAATCTTTGGCGGCTTTGTTTACAATAATTAAAGTTAATGAGCTCTGAAGCACCTGGAGGCTGTTTATAATAACAGTTGATTGGGAAATTTTCAAGCATGTAAACTGTTTAATAAATGTAAACAAAGCCGTCAAACGTTGAGGAAAGATGTACAGGGACCAGTTTCACGAAGCAGTTACGCAAGTACTTACGAACCTGTCCATCTTTTCTCAATCTTTGGCGGCTTTGTTTACACTTATTAAACAGTTAATGAGCTCCGAAGCACCAGGAGGCTGTTTATAACAATAACAACAGTTGATTGACAAGTTTTCATGCTTGTAAACTGTTTAATAAATGTAACCAAAGCCGTCAAAGATTGAGGAAAGATGTACACGTTCGTAAGTACTTGCGTAACTGCTTCGTTAATCTAGCCCCAGGTTCGTAAGTGCTTGCGTAACTGCTTCGTGAATGTGGCCGCAGGAGCTGTGAATGGCCGCGAGGACTTGGAGTGTTCGTTTGAGTTCGACAAGTAATATGAGGTGGATGGAAGCCTCGGCGCAGGGGTTGCTGGCCAGGAATATGTGTACATTAATTCACGCGCACGAAATTATACGCGTTTGTCAACATTCTTTCCCGTTGGTTATTGTTCACCAAAGGGGCTGGTTGAGGATATTATTTCCCGGTTCATAGCGCTCATTATATCGATTACTTGGTTCAATTCTATTGCTGGGGCTCATTTCTTCTATGGCTATTGAGTTTGAATTAGTTCGAAACATTATGAAACGTTGACATTTTCTTTGTATCGGGTGAATGTTGGCAGGACGAAATATATAAAAAAAGATGGTCATTATACTTGGGTTAGTCTCTCGGGAATTTTACCCCAAAAAAATTCTTTTTAGGGATTTAGTGTCTTGAAACTTTTATTATTGATTCGTTCATTGAGATTTGGTTGAGTTAGTGATGAGAGGGAGAGTGAAGGTGGGTGTGGATAGCATGGCGAGGTTGTGGCTCTGTGATTATCAATAATTGGCAACATCACTACACAGGAATGCAACTGCCACACCTCGCTAGAATACCAATTTAAACAATCCTACTAAAGCCATTGTTTCTGAATCGTTGTAAGATGATCATCTCAGTTTTACAATGTAGATAGTTAATGGCAAAGGGAGGGGAATTTATTATATCTATTGTCTGATGTAGATTTAAGTTAAAAAAATATTATAAATGTTTTTGCATCCGTTGGGTGTTTTGTCTGGGGCGGTGTTGCCATGGTTACGGGAGGAGGACGCGTTCATTGGTCGTTGGGTGCTGGCTGGGCCTCGTGATTGGCTAGCAGCATGACCCGTGGGGGATGGGATTTGGGCGCTTAGACTATGAATTTTTTACGCCTACGTGGTCCGGGCTACGGATGGCTATATTTGTTTAGGGATATTCACAGTAGCGCCAGTATAACCTGACGAGAGAGAGTTGCTCCTGTATTTAAGCCATACAAAATAATACAACAAGGAAGTGTGTGTATTGTTGTTAATTTTGTACCGATATAAAAGGCTAAATGGCTACTCACTTAGAGTAACCTCCAACTTCAATTATTTCCTCAGTCACCAAATGCAGTATCGGTTTTATTTTTCAGATTACAACGTTTGATTTCACAACTTTCATTCTCTTTAATACATATCAAAGATGAATCCTCTAGTGGGGAATGAATTTATAGTAGACTCTGATTTGAGAGGTTTTGGAGACGGGAACAGAAGAAGCATTATTAAGATGTCTCCTCATCTTAAGACTGGTCTTATAACTATCACGCCACTAAGAATCATCGTAGCTTGGGGGAGGAAGGATGGCTTAAGGCACTAACTGGGATTTAACTGCACTGTGTACATCAATTAGTTTTTTTCACCTTGACCCTTGCAGTCTTAATTTTTTATTTTAAAATTATATGAGTTTTAATAGGTTTTAGTTCCTCAGGAGACCGGTTGGGAGGGAATTTATTAAGGGTTATTTGGTACTCGCCAAGTTGTGCTTGTGGGGGTTGAGAGATAGTGAATCTCTCGCTATCTTTCTCAGTCTCTCTCTCTTGCTGTCTCTCTCTCTTGCTGTCTCTCTCTCTTGCTCTCTCTCTCTCTTGCTCTCTCTCTTTCGCTATCTTGCTCTCTCTCTTTCGCTGTCTTGCTCTCTCTCTTTCGCTGTCTTGCTCTCTCTCTTTCGCTGTCTTGCTCTCTCTCTTTCGCTGTCTTGCTCTCTCTCTTTCGCTGTCTTGCTCTCTCTCTCTTTCGCTGTCTATGTCTCTCTCGTTCGCTGTCTAGCTCTCTCTCGCTGTCTCTCTCTCGCTGTCTCTCTCGCTGTCTCTCTCTCGCTGTCTCTCTCGCTCTCTCTCTCTCTCTCTCTCTCTCTCTCTCTCTCTCTCTCTCTCTCTCTCTCTCTCTCTCTCTCTCTCTCTCTCTCTCTCTCTCTCTCTCTCTCTCTCTCTCTCTCTCTCTCTCTCTCTCTCTCTCTCTCTCTCTCTCTCTCTCTGTCTCTCTCTCTCTCTCTCTCTCTCTCTCTCTCTCTCGCTGTCTCTCTCTCTCTCTCTCTCTCTCTCTCTCTCTCTCTCTCTCTCTCTCGCTGTCTCTCTCTCTCTCTCGCTGTCTCTCTCTCTCTCTCTCTCTCTCTCACACACACACACATGTGTTTGAAGCCCACCATGACTCATGAAGGTGTTACAGGTGGGAGGAGTCTCTGCTGCCCCCATGGACACATGAGGCGGCTGGGCCTCTTGTTGATGTGGTTAAATGTTGTAACTAGCTCATCAAGATTGTAACTTGCTTAGCTAAATGAATTGTGGGGTTCAGTCCCTGAGCCCATTATGTGCCTCTGTAACCCTTTCCACAACCGCCCACAAGATGGGTATGGGGTGCATAATAGATGCTGTTGTTCCCCACACATGCTGGAGCTTTATGGACGGGCGCCCAATCGATCCTACTATAATTGTGACCATCTTGAGATGATTTCGGGGCTTAGTGTCCCCGCGGCCCGGTCCTCGACCAGGCCTCCTTTTTGTTACACACCCCCAGAAAGCAGCTCGTAGCAGGTTATCTTGAGGTTATCTTGAGATGATTTCGGGGCTTTAGTGTCCCCGCGGCCCGGTCCTCGACCAGGCCTCCACCCCCAGGAAGCAGCCCGTGACAGCTGACTAACACCCAGGTACCTATTTTACTGCTAGGTAACAGGGGCATAGGGTGAAAGAAACTCTGCCCATTGTTTTCTCGCCGGCGCCCGGGATCGAACCCGGGACCACAGGATCACAAGTCCAGCGTGCTGTCCGCTCGGCCGACCGGCTCCCTTGGTGTCTAACTCCCAGGTACCTAATTACTGCTAGGTGAACAGGGGCATCAGGGTGAAAGAAACATTTTGCCCATTTGTCTCTGCCTCCACCGGGGATTGAACCCGGTACCTCAGGACTACAAAGCGCTGTCAATCCAGCTGTCAGGGAGTTCAGTTCTTCTCTCCTGCTGAGAGTGATTTGCTCTTTCATAGATTTTCGACAGCTGAACTTTATGTGCCCCCCCCCTCCCTTCCCCAACCACTTGGGCTGGACGGTAGAGCGACGGTCTCGCATCATGAAGGTCGGCGTTCAATCCCCCGACCGTCCAAGTGGTTGGCCACCATTCCTTCCCCCCGTCCCATCCCATATCCTTTTATCGTGACCCCTTCCCAGTGTTATATTGTCGTAATGGCTTGGCGGTTTCCCCCTGATAATTTCCGTCCCTTCCTCATGCTGGGCGGGACTTAAAGGTGTTCTTTAATAACGGGACGCACCTAGTATGGGCCAGCGACTTGGATGTGTGATAATGGTATGATAGACAGGATACTTAGGAGCTACAAAAATTTTGCCTCAAGAGTGTAACACTTATATGCTGTGCCTACTATATTAACCTGCAATGTTAAATGGGATTCTTGTACTGTTATTTGTGTATTTGTACTCACTGAATATTTGCGCCCCTTAAGGGACTTGAAGTAGAGGGGGGGTAGATATAGCCTAAGTTACTCTATCCCTTTGAGATGTATTTCTTTCTTGTCACAATAAATTGAACTTGGGCCAGCGACCTTGTGCGGCACTCCCAAATTCTTGCTTTTAAGTTCTTGAGGAACTGAAAATACACCTTTTCAGAGGTATGCCTCTAGACTAGTCAGAAACCGAGAGATACTAAATAGGTTTAAAGTAGATGTTAAAAATTAAACCTCATATCACTGAAGGGAAGAAACACGGAGGTCATGATCACTACATGCAAAATTCTCCGACAAATTGGCACGACAGATACGGACAGCCAGTTTAGCATGGTAGATGTATCAACAAATGGAAACGGTTCCCACATGAGCCTCCGACATTACAAATAATATTACAAATAATTTGTACTTTCTGTTGTGAACAGATAGTGTGCTAGAAATTTAATCTCCGTGGTGTAGTGGTAAGACACTCGCTTGGCGTTCCGCGAGCGAGTATGCAAGGCCTGATTTGCATGACAAGCCAATTTTTCCAAAAATTCTAAATTTAAATTTTTGTTTCATATAAATGATAAAAGCTTTCATAATAAGATACATGATTTATATGTTTTATTTGAGTTAAAACTTGTATAGAAATATGACTAACTCTAACCTATCCTAAGCAAACTAGGTCATTAATTCATCATGTTAATATAATATAATAATATTAATTCACATACAAGAATTTGAATTTTGTTGAAAATTATTAAAATCAGGTAAATTGAACCTTGTATACTGCTCTATGTGTGTGTGTGTACATATGTACATACCATACATGTACATATATACATGTACATACATTCATGTACATACATACATATACATACCTACATGTACATTCAGTCATGTACATACATACATAGTGATGTAGATAATATCTTAATAAATTTGTAAATTTGAATCATTCTTAGTAAATTATATTTTTTTTTCAGACGAGTGATTGTATATAGACGATGAGTGAGGATAAGGATATAGCACATGCTCAAGCCTCTGCTATTCCTCAACACCCTCAGCAGCAGCAGCAGCAGCAGCAACAACAGCAACAACAACAGCAACAACAGCAACATCATCAGCAACAACAACATCATCAACAGCAACAACAACAACAGCAGCAGCAACAGCAGCAGCAGCAACAGCAGCAGCAACAACATCAGCAGCAGCAGCAGCAGCAACATCAGCAGCAGCTGCAGCAACAGCACCATCTTGCTCACCAAACTACCACCTTAGTCTCCATGCAGGCTGCAGCTACAGCCCAGCCCATTGTCCAACAGGCTTCCCCACAGGTCAGTCTCATCATCAAAGTACAAAAACTCCTCTTTATAGAATACCTGATAGTTATGCTTTCACAGAACATATGGCAATTCCTAGAGTCCGTTCTGAGAGTTCTGCTACTCTCCAAGCCTGGCGTCTGTCTCGTGATCTTGATCTAAAACGTTGTTGCTTGGAGCGGCTCACGGGCCCACATATCCATTACGACCCAGTTGGTCTGCCGCTTCCTGAAGGAACTTGTCTGTTTTCTCTTGAACACGTCCTCTTTTGTTCTGGCAATATTTCTTATATTTATTGGGAGAATACTGCATAGCCTTGGACCTCTGATGTTCAGTGTTCATTACTTATGCCTGTAACACTCTACTCTTCACTTGGTCTGGTCCCTTAACTGTGATGAATATATTGTAACGTGACTCAGTAGTGTGGCTATACTGGACAGATGTAATGTGGCACGTACTTTGCATTAAAAAAAAAATGACGCATTTGTCTTAGCAGTGTGAAAATTGAAAAGGAGTGAAGGCATACGCAAGCGAAAAATTATGACAGTTTACTCCAATATCGAAATTAACAAATAACATATGAAAAATATACAGCCCGCCAGAGTTGACGTGGAAAATAGTAGAGGGGCTGGTCCCAAACCTGCACACAGAAATAACACCACATGAGACCAGAAGGCATGGCAGGATGTGCAGAATACCCCCATTGAAAAGTAGAGGTGCAATAGGTACTCTGAGAGAGAACTCTTATTCAACATCAGAGGCCCGAGACTGTTCAACACGCTTCCACTACACATAAGGAGCATAACTGGCTGACCCCTCACAGTGTTCAAGAGAGAACCTGACCAGCACCTCCAAAGAATACCTGATCAACCAGGCTGTTATTCATATGTCAGACTGCGAGCAGCTGCATCCAACAGCCTGGTTGACCAGTCCAGCAACAAGGAGGCCTTGTTGACGACCAGGCCCCGGGGGACGCTAAGCCCCGAAAACACTTCAAGGTAACCTCAAGGTAAGGTGACTCATGTCAGGCTGTGAATAGCCACATTTGAACAGCCTGGTTGATTATACAGTGCAACCAACCAGGAGGTCAGAGGCTGGGCTGCAAGGATGTTTATGGTCAGAATTGTTGACAGGTATACAATAGATATGCGACCCATGACTTGATTTGTGGGAGCAGCTGAGGTGCTACTCAGAAAGGAAAATTTCACTTGACTCTACTCATATTTTTACCCTGTTTAAGGGTTCCCCACCCCATGAAAGGGAAAAATGTGATAGTGATTATTGTGGTCTTGTATTTGAATTTACCAATTATAATTCTGCTACAGTTTAAAATATTCTACTGTATATATACTGTATTCTATTTAGATAGAAAGGAAGAGAGTAATCGCAAGTTATTCTATGATTTATTAAATAGATTATGATGACTTGCTTGCAAGTTTTTTTTGGTTAATTAAGACAAATATCAGTAGTGTAATTACAAGGTGTATTTTGAAACCTTTTGGTAGGTTTCCTGGGGCCCGACAGCTGAGTGTACAGCGCTTTGGATTCGTAGTTCTGAGGTTCCGGGTTCGATTCCCGGTGGAGGCGGAAACAAATGGGCAGTTTCTTTTATCCTGATGCACCTGTCCACCTAGCAGTAAATAGATAGCTGGGAGTTAGACAGCTGCTACGGGCTGCTTCCTGGGGGTGTGTAACAAAATGAAGGCCTGATCAAGGACCGGGCCGCGGTACGCTAAGTCCCGAAATCATCTCAAGATAACCTCAAGATTGGTAACAACAGTATAAGATCAGGCTATATTTAGATATTTGTTTATATTGTTGATTAGTGATGAGTGGTGTGTTTGTGCATAGGTTGGGCAGCAGCAGGGTGTACAACAGCAAGGGATGCAGCAGGTGATGCAGCAGGCTCCGCAGGCAGCCCACTCCCCTCACGGGGTCACCACCTCTATGCCACAACAGTCGCCACAGGTAAGCTCTCGTCTTGCTTGTAAATGTTGGGCCGTCTCACTATCAGCTAGAGGCATTTTCATTATTAAATCTTTTGCATTCAGTGTTTTACATACTATTTACAACTATGTGCTTAATTACTGTACTGTGAACTTAGGTCATTTATTGGCTCTTATCATGCTAAGTTTTTAATCTTCTCTTGTAGTGAGGCAACCACACATCAAATCTAAAATTTAAGAAAATCAAGGTTCCCTTTTTAAAAATAAATTTGATCAATCACTTGCCTGTTGTGTGCCACGTGGGGTATGCATTCGGTACCAGCAATGGCTTGAGTTTCTTCAATTAATGCCATATAAATTTAATACTATCAGTCATGTTGACATTAGACTAATGACCCAATAAGTGTATTAGTATCAAGTGACAACTGTGTCATTGTAACTGGCAAGTGGCTGATTGCAACTGCAAATGTTAGTAGAATTTTAGAACATTTATGTTAATATATATTACCATTGTAATTAATGAAAACTGCATATTGATTTATGCAGGTTTTGCGAAATGTCGCCAGATTAACAGCCAAGTTTAATTTTTTCTATAAGTAGCAGGAATATCTACACCAAAATTATGACCATTTAAAACTTAGTTTCCAAATACAGTACAGTATATTGAAGAAATGTAATATTTTTGTTTTGAAGTACTGTAGTCATTTATTTATTCAGTAAACATCTGACATTGCCATGTTATACCACATTGCATCAGATTCTGGCAGTGTTAATATCAACTATGATGAACTTAAATATAAAATCCACTACTTGGTAAAATAGTATTTGTAGAGAAACACAAAATTGCGAGCAAACTAAATTAAATCTAAGGCTTTATTGAATGTTACCAAAACAAAATCTTATCAATTCATAGGGCAGCTGCTTGTAAGACGAACACAAGTGTTCGGACGATAGTGAGACAAGTCTTATGTGATTTTTTTTCCTAACAAACAGCTGCCCTAATAATTGATAAGATTTTGTTTTGGTAATATTCAAAAAGTCTTAGCTTCAATTACGTCTACTCTCAAATTTGTGTTTGTATACAATTATTATTTTGCCAAGTAGTGGATTTTATATTTAAGTTCATCATAGTTGATATTAACACTGCCAGAATCTGATGCAATGTGGTATAACATGGCAATGTCAGATGTTTACTGAATAAATAAATGACTACAGTACTTCAAAACAAAAATATTACATTTGTTCAATATACTGTACTGTATTTGGAAACTAAGTTTTAAATGGTCATAATTTAGGTTCATGATAGTTGATATTAACACTGCAAGAATCTTAACACAATTTGGTATAACAGGACAATGTCAGACACGAGCTCATTGACTAAATAAATGACTTCGTCAAAACAAGTAAATATTATATTTTTCAGTGCTTTAAAATTAAATATTTTTTAGCCTAATTTATTTTAATCAGTGCTTTTCAATTAGTTTATCTAGATATAATTATTACAACACAACTCTGGACTAAAGTAAAGTCACTACTTCTTAATGATATACAGTATCAATCAATGTATTTTCAAGAAAAGAAACATGTCATATCCAGCACCTTTTATATCCATCTTTGGACTTCTCCTTACACATTTATATACACTTGACTACACTAATACCTGATCATCCAGGCTGTGACTCATACGTCAGGCTGCGAGCAGCCGCGTCTAACAGCCTGGTTGATCAGTCCAGCAACCAGGAGGCCTGGTCGACGACCGGGCCGCGGGGACGCTAAGCCCCGGAGCACCTCAAGGTAACCTCAAGGTACAAACACACATCATAGAGCCAATAAGAGCTCAAAATTGTAAACATGAAGACCCGTGTATAGTTTGCTCTGACAAATTACCGAAGCAAGTTGTATAGCTGTAAGTATACCCAGTTCCAACTGGGAATGTCATTTATGTGGAAAAAATCTAAATTTTTAGGGTGTCCCAAATTTAAGCTCATACGCATCGACTGCTTGAGTGGTTTTTGGTATACAAGTCTTCTGCTTAATTCATGTCATTCATGGCAAGCACCTCAACTGACAGTTGTTTCATAGTCGAGAGCCGGGAGCCGGTCGGCCGAGCGGAGGGAGCCGGTCGGCCGAGCGGAGGGAGCCGGTCGGCCAAGTGGACAGCACACTGGACTTGTGATCCTGTGGTCCCGGGTTCGATCCTGGGCGCCGGCGAGAAACAATGGGAAGAGTTTCTTTCACCCTATGCCCCTGTTACCTAGCAGTAAATAGGTACCTGGGTGTTAGTCAGCTGTCACGGGCTGCTTCCTGGGGGTGGAGGCCTGGTCGAGGACCGGGCCGCGGGGACACTAAAGCCCCGAAATCATCTCAAGATAACCTCAAGAAGATAGTGAATAGTGCAAGTGTTATATTCCCTGGCTGTAAATATCCTCTTATTTCATGGCAAGTATTATGAACTGTCATTCTGGTGTTAATCTGTCATAGCTTTCTTCAATCTAAACTGTCTATTTTAGAAGTTGTTGCATGTTGTATAAAATGCATTTCTATCTTGAAATTGTAGGAACATTTAAAATATTCAACAATAGTCTCATGTCTACCTGAATTTATCTGAGGGACACTAGTTCTGATGATTTCGAATTGGACAAGAAGCAATAAGGTTGTCAAAGATTCTTCACTTATTCCTGAGACATGTGGACACACCTAAAAGATAGTAGACTTTACAAGTAGATATATTTGATGTTTGATGCTTGGTCAATGTTTGATGTTGTTGATGCGAGTTGATCATCTTGCATCAATGTTTGATGCAAGATAGCATCTTGCCTGTAAGGCTATCAAATATGAAATTTTGAAATGATAAAGCCCTTGCATGCAAAATGATACAGTACTATTAAAGTTCACTCTCATTTAGGTGTTTCTATACATTATTGTCAACTGTTTGGCTTCTTTACTTCCAATGTTTTTCATTACAATATTCTGTAGTCAGTTACCTCATTGGATCAGTTACATTATGTGGGACAGTCATTTGCATTTCCCTCTTTATAAATGTGGTGGGTGTGTGCTAGGCGCTCATCTACCCAAAAAAATGTTTGTTATTGATCGACAAAATAGTTACCAGATATATTAATTTATTGCAAAACTTATCTCCTCCTTTAATTCATAACATACTGTGCTATAAAATGATGGAAATGAACACTACAACAATAGCCCTAAATCTGTATCTTACTTGCATAGAATCCCAAAAAGGAAAGCCATGTTCATATGGTTGTGTAGAATGAAAGGAGGATAAATCTGGTATAGAAGAGGTTGGAAGTGGTGACATTGTTTTAAGCTTTCCATAAGTATAAGTTTTAAGCTTTTTTAAGTACAACATCAGATATGAGTATAATAAAAGCATAATAGCTGAGGGCACAGAAAAACGGGTTGTCTTAAAATAATTATACTCGTTATATCTTATTGATGCAATATTTGTATGCATATTTACTAGTTCACATATGACATAATAAAGCAGTGAAGAGAGACAAAGCTCGGTAAAACATGGTAAAATGTAACAAACTGAGGTGAGAGGTGTCCTGGATGTAATGGACACCATAACATCCAGGACACCATAGCCGTAGCGAGGTGTCCTCGCTACAGCTGATTGCCGTAGCGAGTAATAACTACTGGCATTCACGTGTGCTCTCTTCCACCTCATTTAGTCTCGCCTGTGATATCAGCAACAAATAATAAAGCTAAAAATAAGCTTTATTATTTACCAGTAACTGTGGTGATGATAAAACTAAAAGCAATATATAGTAACCAGTACCATATAATAGTGTTAAGATGGTGATTACTCTTGTATGAGTTAGCCCTGTCTGTACACTATATCGTCTTTCTATACTTTCTATACACTATATCTATACACTCTTTCTTGTGTAGATTATTTTTCATTTCAATATGAGCTGGATTGGCATGTATATTAAATTTAGCCTGAAAATTGATGTGTTAAACTACTAAAGAATCATACAATATCATCATACTGTATGAGTGTTAGGTTGGCAAATGTTTGATGGTGTGCAAGCTGATTACTGTGTATCATCGTCATCATCATCAATATTGTTGTATCCTGGTTCTCCTTCAGTCTTCAGTGTGGTGTTGTCTGGCCTGATTACCGTCTGTCATCTTGAACGGTATTGTTGTCTGTATCTTATCTGAAATAGTGCGCTGTCAGTGGTTAATTTGAGTTCATTTTGTTGGGGTTCAAGTTTACGATGGTTGTAATTTGCAGCGTGGTAGGAGTGGTCAACGTATTTCAGCCACGTTATTGTGACTCCTCGTCTGCATATTGTAGAAGTAATGTGTGGAATTTTGTTTGTTGAGGTACATGGTTGTGAGAGTGTGGTAAAGGGTCTGTCATGTTAATAGTTGCTGTGGTGTCCACTCTTCATTTGTCTTTCTCATTGGTCTTTGCTACCTTTTTTTTTATTTAAGTTGTTGTCACTTGTGCTTTTCAGCATGGATGGTCTCACTGTATTTACATGAAATGGAGGCAGCAGGAGATCCAGCCGCCACGTCTGTTTTTTCTAAGGTGATGACTATCGCCAAATGCAGAAATATCATTATGCCAACCACCAAGATTCCTAAGGTGAAGGGTTCCATCTTTCTCCCTCTTATTTGTTCTCTCACCTCCTGGCTTTTTGGACACCACCACTGTCTGCTTGCCTCTCACACTCCTTGGTGTGTTGCCAGTGACACTGGCAGGTCCCTTGGTGGGTTGTCGGAGATGTTGGTTAGTTTCTTGGTGTGTTGTGATGGCTGGTTTCTTCGTGCATTTTGAGGAATGTTGGTTAGTTTCTTTGTGTGTTCCAGATGGTATTTGTTCTTTGGTGTTTTGGGAGTTACATTGATTGGTCAGTTGGTGTGTTGTGAAGGTCGTTGGTTCCTTGGTGTGTAAAGGGGTTTGTAGATTGGTTCTTTCATGTGTTACAAGGATTTTTAATTCCTTTGCATTTTGCAGGAACAGTTGGTTGGTGTCTTGGTGTGATGGGG